CGCGTGGCTGCGTGTGCCCGCGCGCGCGCCAGCCTTTGTGGGGAAGCGGCGCGGCGGTGCCTGCGTGTCCCCGGTGCGTGTGCGCGCGGGTGCTTGGCGCCCTGTTTGTGTAGGTGTCTGGGTGTGAGCGGAGAGGGTGCGTGTGCGCGCCGCGCGCGGTCCCCGGCCCCCGGAGGAGCTGTGTCGGGGGCTGGCACCGCAGGATGCTGGGCTAAGGGTTGTTTTTCTCCGGGAGGCAGTGGCGCGGGGGATGGGCAGGGGTCTGTCTGGGTGTCCAGCCGGCTGCAGTCCGGGGGACGCTGCTGTCAGGCGGAGGGGGTGCAGCCCGGCAGCGTCTTCTCTCCGTGGTACCGGGAAAGGCATGAGAGGCTGTCAGGTTTGATCCACCGGGATTCGGGCTTTGAGGGCGAGTCCTCCCCTCCCCCCCAGGTGTGCACTGGATCGAGAGCTGTGGGGGTTCAGTTGTCATCCTCTCATCTGAGGACCCTGGGACAGAAGTCCAGGCCTGAAGTGGGGGGTGTTGTGTGTGTTCCAGCCATGGCCAGCAAACGCCCTCCCAGGCGTCGCTCCAGTGCGCCCCTGGAACCCATCTGAAGAAGGCGCGCCGCCTGTGCACAGCCCCCACGCACATCCCTGTCCCTACACTTCAGTCGAGGTCTAACACGGCCCCATCCCTGCCCTGAACCTCACTGTACCTTTCAGGTCCCTTCCCCCCTTCCCCCATCCCATCTCGCTCCCCACCCCATGGCAGCTGCGTGGGTGTCCCTCCATCCCAATTTGAGGCAGGGCCCCCTTTCCTCCTGGCTTGTGCAGGACCCAGAGCCCCGGTCTGTCTTCCCACATCCAAACATGTGGTGTGCCTGGGGGAGTGGGGGGAGGGGCTCAAAATGGCTGCCAAGATGGCTGGCCGCCTCTCTCTCTCTCTCTCTCTCTCTCTCTCTCTGTGTCTCTCTCTCTCTCTCTCCCCCCTCTCTCCCCCTCTCTCCCTCTCTCTCCCTCTCTCTCCCCCTCTCTCCCTCTCTCTCCCCCTCTCCCCCTTCCTTCCCCCCTTCCCCTCTTCCCCTCTTTCCCTCTCTCCCTCTCTCCCTCTCTTCCTCTCTTCCTTTCTTCCCCTTTCTCTGCCTGCCCTACTCCCTTAGCTGCTTGGAGTCACTGCAGACGGAGAGGGGGGTAGGACGATGTGGGGACAGATGAGAGGGACACCTGAGGGGTGGATGTCTTTTCTGGGCCTGTTGACCTCCATGCTGCTTGGGGAAAGCTTGATTTCTGCTCCTCTCTCCAGCACCCCAAGGGCCTGGAAAGAGTCTAACCCACCCCCCAGCCCCTTCACCCTGGCTCACAGCCTGGGGCTCCCTGCCCTCCACCTGCTCTCCTGGGCCTGGCACCCTGAATTGGTGGTTGGGGTGTCAGGGTGCCTCGCAGGGTCCCCCTCTTTCATCCTCTTCTCCACCTGCCCCAGGCCAGAGGCTGGGGACTTCACGTGGGGGCGTGGGTCAGGACCCAGCTTTGGGGGCAGGTGAGTCCTTCCTCCCCTCTCCCCTCCCACTAATGCCGAATTTATTACTTAAAAGTAGGATGAAAACAGGGAGAATAAGAAGGAATACAACCTTCATTATCATATCGAGAAAATTATCCGTGATTTTCCTAACTAGCAATTTGCCTGCCATGCCGTTCAGAACTGACTTGCCCATTAATTACAGAGATGAAAAATCATCTGGAAAGCGGAAAAGGGAACTAATTCCATCGCTGGCGGCGATGGCACCCGTGCACAGAGCCACATACGTGTGCGCGCTCACATGCGGGTGCAGGCCTCCTGCTGCCATGGCCACCATCCTCCTCACCCCCCTTGGTGACCTCCCGCAGGGCCTCGCTTGGCCCACCCGCTCCGATGCCCCCAGGCCCTCCCTCCCTCCACAGGGCGCCCTTCCCAACCCCTACTCCTGGGGGGTTTGCGTACCCCGCGAGCGCGAGCGGGTCGCCAGTGCTGATGCCTGCCCTTGGGTGTGGAGACGGGGCCCAGGGTTGGGGGAGGGCGGGGAGCTGGGGACCGGCGCACCTGGGCCGTGGAGCCTGCAGGGAGGTGGTGGGAGGCGGGAGACTGGAAGCCCGGTTCTATTCCCATCCTGCCCCGGGGAGCCCCTTCTCCTGGGGGGCCTAGGTGCACCCTGCGGCACGTGGGGGAGGCGCCTGCGGGCGCCCTGGCTGAGCCGGAGTGTGTTTGCATCAAGCTGTCTGGGGCTCCTGGTCGGTGGCATCTCTACCTGCATGCGGGGCTGCGTGTGCCTGCGTCTGGGGCATCGCGTCCTCCCTGCCCGGCCAGGCTGGCGGGAGAGCGTGTGGCCCTTCAGGCCCAGCGCTGGCATCCTGGGGGGGAGGGGCTGGTCCCCAGGAGTGGTGCTACTCTGGGCCCCTAAAGCGGGTTCCCCTACAGAGGAGCAGGAGCACCTCTGTCCCCACCCTCGTCCCCTCGCTGGCCATGGGGAGCTGGAGATCATCGCCTCTTCCCCCTCCTGCCTTCTTCCCCAGCCAGACGTGTGGCCAAGGACAGGGCAGGCTCTGGTTTCTGTGTGGGCTCCTCTCGCAGATCCGATTTCCAGACGCCAGACACTTCCCCTCCTCTAGCCCCTCCTTGGGGAGGCAGGGGCGGGGCTCCCCAGCCGGGGTTCCCGGGTCTGGAACCCCAACCCCGGTGACCGTGGAGGTACCTGAGTGAGCCAGCATTCTTCCCTGGCTTGGTTTGGGATAAACTGCCTGCTGTTGGATGGAAGGGGAAAGTGGGGTCCCAGGGTGGGGTGGGAGGTAATAAGATATCAGAGGGATCCTGCTGCCTCTGGAATCTCGTACTTGGTCCCATGTCTGCCTGTCTGCACCTGTGTGTACCGGTTCTCTGCATGGCTTGGATGGTGAGTCGGCCAACCATCCAGTCAGGATAGTTCTGTTCATAGGGGTCCCTTGTGTGCAGGTGTTTGTGAGATTTGCAAAGGGGGTGGCTGTGTGGCTCCACACATGAACAGCTGTCTGCACACAGGCATGGGGCTGTCTGTATCCTGTGTGCACCTGCATGGGTGTGTTCAGGGGTGTGTTCATGAGACTCCTTGGAGCAAGGCTGGTGCATCTGCTCGTGCAATCTGCAAACACTTGCCAAGTGCTTTCTCTGCCAGGCACCATGCTGGGAGTGCTATGCTGGGGATACCGTAGTGACAGTGGCCATGTCCTGTCCTCATGGAGCTCACTGTCTAGCAGTGTGTAAGTGATTTCAGTCAAGAAGCTTCTATCATGAGAGTTGGGGAGAAGGCTTGTGTCTCCCCCTCCAGAGCGGTCAGGATCCCAGCTGGGGAGGACAGCCCCAGACTCTGAACGCAGAGCCCCCAAGTCCTGGTACTACATCAGTCCCAAGCTTGGGTGTCCTGTGGTATGACCCTGCATGATCTTCCTGGTCACCTCTTCCCCTAGTCCCTTCCCTCCTGGCTACTCCTCCAATGTGCTAAGTATGATCCCACCTCAGGGCCTTTGCACTAGACGTTCCTTACACATGGAACCCTCCCCCCTTCAAACATCACTTCTCCAGTAACCTTTTCTTGTGCACCCTGTTTAAAATCTCAGTGTCCAGGGCCAGCCCGTGGCTCACTCAGGAGAGTGTGGTGCTGATAACACCAAGGCCACGGGTTCGGATCCCATATAGGGATGGCCGGTTCGCTCACTGGCTGAGCGTGGTGCTGACAACACCAAGCCAAAGGTTAAGATCCCCTTACCGGTCATCTTTAAAAAAAAAAAAAATCTCAGTGTCCCACACCCCTCCTGACTTTCCATAGAACTGATGGCATACTCGGTAA